CCTGGTGACAATGTACCAAGTACAGGGACACAACCAGGAAGTAGAGATTAACTACGTGCTGAACTTGATCCATTATCTTTGTTTTTTTTTTTTGAGGTGGAGTCTCGCTCTGTCACCCAGGCTGGAGTCCAGTGGGCCATCTCTGCTCACTGCAACCCCCGCCTCCCAGGTTCAAGCGATTCTCCTGCCTCAGCCTCCCGAGTAGCTGGGATTACAGGCGCCTGCCACCACACTCAGCTAATTTTTTTGTACTTTTAGTAGAGACGGGGTTTCACCATGCTGGCCAGGCTAGTCTCGAACTCTGGACCTCAGGTGATCCAGCCGCCTCAGCCTCTCAAAGTGCTAGGATTACAGGTGTGAGCCACTGCGCCCGGCCTTGATCCATCATCAACAATGTCGTTCACAGTTCCTGTCAGTCCTTTAAGGGTGTTGCCCCTTCCTGTTTTCCAGGTTCTTGAGTGTCACCTTGGTCTTCCCCTCTAAGAGCCAGCGGTTCCTGCGGGTTGGCCTGGCCGTGCCAATCCTCAGCACAGTGGCAGTCCTGAGGAGGATGGTTGCAGAGGAAGGAGGCGTCCCTGCAGATGAGGTGTGATAGAATTGCACTGGGGCCTGGTCATTGGATGACAGAATGCTAAGTGAGCCAGCTGTCTAGGCTGTTTAGGCCAATGTGTGGTTCCCAGGTGACTCCAGCATGACTCATGGGTTTCTGTTTGATTAGTAGTGCCTGGCGTCTGGGATGACTGGGCCTTGACTTCTCCCTGAATTGACACAGAATGACCAGAAAAGAACACCTTTGCCTTCCAAGAAGGCGATGACGATTATGATCATAATAATTCCAACAATACCTACCCCTAGGTAGTGCTTACTAAGTGTGAGGCACTGTTCTGTGACCTTTCTATTCATGCCTGGTTTAATCACAGGTGTCCTGTGCAGTAGACATTACAATTATCCTCCTCTTACTAATGGGGAATAAAGAAGCCCTGAGAGGTTAAGTGACTTGCCCAACGTCACTAGCTAGTAAGTGGCTGAGCCAGGATTTGGATTTCGATGGTTTGACTTCATAGCCCAAGTCACCACTGTGTATTTTCAGTCTTGGGAATATAAACCAGGACACTAAAGGAACAGTGAGTGAAACAGGAGGACCTGCTGAGAGAACTGAGGATGTGTGACGTGAGAGAGAACATCTGGGGGAAGCTGGGATGGCTGTGTTCTACTTGTTTTCTTTTCAAATGAGTCCTGCTAAAGGGATTGGATTCACGGTGCCTGGAGGGGCCCTCATGAGGAACAGGGAGGAGGCCATGGTGGCGCTAAGCCACGTGGCAGGATGGGACAGCCCTCAGGGTGATTCAGTAGCTCCCTAGGTTTCTGAGCCTGGACGCAGTACGCGATTGGCTCTGTGTCCTTAACTGTGAAATGGAAAATTGACACTTCCCTGACTATCTCATGGGATTTTTTTTCAAATCAAAAACTATTTTTAACCTTGTTGGGAAGACATGCCATGCATACAATAACGTCTACCTACCTGAAGATTGTGGTTTGCTGGCTTTCTCTACATTCATAGCTATATTCCTATAACCTCCACGCTTCCTCAGCCTCCCCATCACCCCAGTGGGCTCCTTTCTGACCCTGCCCAATCAATCCCTCTGACCTCTATCGCCCCTCCTAGAATATTTATGACTCTCCCAGGTAGCGGCGGAAATGTGTGTATCTTGCTTTGTAAACTCTAAAGGGCACTATGGGGAGTTATTGAAAGAGACGGAGAGAGACGGGGACAGTGGGTGAGAGTCCTGGGGAGAAAGTGGCCGTAAGAAAAGATCAAAAGGGAGAAGTCTATGAGAGGGAGCGTTTGAATAATTAAGAGCATGAAAAATCCGGCAGGAATTTGAGAGGTGTGATGGTTCCCTGATTGGTTCAGGGAGATGAGAATCACTTGGGGATGCCAGTGCGGGATGAGCATTTTCCACTGAAACTTAAAGTCATCTGTTTTGATGTTTTGTTTTCTTTAGCTGGCAAGTGTATTGCATATATATTATCTAAAATCATAGATATATGTATTTGGATTTATTTTTCTATTATTATTATTAGTATTATTATTATTGACGGAGTCTCACTCTGTCACCAGGCTGGAGTGCAGTGCAGTGGCACGATCTCAGCTCACTGCAACCTTCACCTCCAGGGTTCAAGTGAGTCTCCTGCCTCAACCTCCCATGTAGCTGGAACTACAGGCACCCGCCACCACGCCTGGCTAATTTTTTGTGTTTTTAGTAGAGACGGGGTTTCACCGTGTTGGCCAGGATGGTCTCGATCTCTTGACCTCGTGATCTGCCCACCTCAACCTCCCAATGTTTTGGGATTACAGGGGTGAGCCACCGCGCCCGGCCTGTATTTGGATTTATTTATGTCATCTTATGCTATTTACCCTGTTTTTCTATTTTGTATTGCCCCCTAACCCCCCAATTTTTAGATTGAGCAGTCTTCTTCTTTTAGAAGATGATTCTTTTAGATTGAGCAATTTTTCTTTATTTCGTCTCTTCTGGGATGAAGTACATATACATTATATTTCCATTCTTTCAGTGGTTATTAAAATGTCAACTTGCGTAATTACTAGTCTAATGTTAATCTTCCCATGTAACACAAGGATCTTGGCATGGCATTAAATCCCCTTATACCTTTTTGATTTAGATATTATTGTCCAGTATTTTAATCCGTTCTCTACCTCCAACTGTAATAGTAGTAATAGTTATTATTTTAGCTTTATATAGTCGATAATATTTACTATTTTCTTTGGTTCATCATTTCTCCTACAACTCAAGTTTTCTCTTTGATTCAGGTTTGTAAATCCTGAAATCTATGTATTTATTTATGAATGAATGAATAAATGAATGAATGAATGACAGGATTTTCCTCTGTTGCCCTGGCTGGAGTGCAGGGGTGTGATCATAACTTACTGCAGCCTTGAACTGCTGGGCTCAAGGGATCCTCCCACCTCAGCCTCCTGAGTAGCTGGGACTACAGGCTCATGCCACTATGCCTGGCTAATTTAAAAAATAAAAACTGTGTAGAGATGGGGTCCTGCTATGTTGCCCAGGCTGGTCTTGAACTCCTGGGCTCAAGTGACCCTCCCTCCTCAGCCTCCCAAAGTGTTGGGATTATAGGCGTGAGCCACTGTACTCAGCCCTGAAATGCATCTTTTGAAAGAGAACTTCCCAGGCAGTGTACCTTGAATAGGTTATGTGTGCTGAGATATTGATTTCTTCAGCCTTCGGGGTAGCAGAGTTGGGTCTAGGGCAGTCAGGACCACCACAGTAGTCACCCCTCTACTCTGCTACCAAACCATCTCCTATTTACTTCAAAGTTTGGTAAAAATATTTTTTTATGTATGCAATCATGTGAAAAAGGTTAGTAAACCTATTCAGAAATTTTTTCACTCCGTAGTAAACACTCACTTTTTGTTCACATGAGGAGGGCTTTATTTTGTTGTCATTTTTCTATGCTTGTTTAGCTGGGTGTAAAACTTAGATTTTTTTTTTTCTTCAGTTTCTTTTTTTTTGTCGCACTTGAGATGTCTGTGGACAATCTAATTGTTATATCTAATATGCCTTACTACTAAAAATAAGTAGCCAATTAGAAGGAAGGAAAGGGTGAAAATGGGTGTTGACTATCAGTCACTTTTAGATTTCTTACCTGTTGATTTCTCTTTCGGAAATCAAGAGGGAAAATGATCTTTCTCATTTCAGGTGATCTTAGTTGAACTGTATCCCAGTGGATTTCAGCGGTCTTTCTTTGATGAAGAGGACCTGAATACTATCGCAGAGGGAGATAATGTGTATGCCTTTCAAGTTCCTCCCTCACCCAGCCAGGGGACTCTCTCAGGTATAACAGGTGCTTTACACAATTTTATTTGGCTATGATGAGTTACAGGTTTCAGAGGATACTCTTTAGGTGCAAAGGCGTAAAACATCCAGTTTTAGCACTTGGAACAGTCAGACTTATTATCCCTGGCATTTGTTTTGTGCAGATGGTTGATATTAAAAATTATTCAGCTAATACAGGGATTCTCAAAACCTTAGTGAATATCAGAATCACCTGGAGGATGTGCGAAAGCAAATTTCTGGACCCTACCCACAGACTATATGATTTGGGTGGCCTGGAGTGGGGCCTAAGAGTTTGCACATCTAAGCGAGTTCCCAGGTGATGCTGATGCTGCTGGTCCAGGAACCACACTTTGAGAACCACCTTTTGGTATAAATGCTGGAGTCATCTTTGCCGTCAGGATTCCTATGGGTCAAGGTTTGTGTGTGAAGTAAAATGTCTACAAATTTGAGCAGTACATGGTTAAAGAGTTTATTAAATGACTTTTTAACAAAATAGTTCCCCTTCTTAATGCTTGTTTTTCCTATACCATAGACTGGCTAACATGGTCAGTTTCTAACAGTCCTTTTTATTTGTAGGTCAGGATACATGTTGGCCAAGTTGCTAGTGAAGAAGACCCATATATAAATATATATATATTTGAGACATATATGTATATATATTTGAGATGGTTTCTCACTCTGTCACCCAGGCTGTAGTACAGTGGCACGATCTCAGCTCATTGTAACCTCTGCCTCCCGGGTTCAAGTGATTCTCCTGCCTCAGCCTCCCAAGTAGCTGGGACTATAGGTGCCTGCTACCATGCTCGGCTAATTTTTGTATTTTTAGTAGAGACGGAGTTTCACCGTGTTGGCCAGGCTGGTCTCAAACTCCTGACCTCAGGTGATCCACCTGCCTCGGCCTCTGAAAGTGCTGGGATTACAGGCATGAGCCACCACGCCCAGCCTGAAGGCCCATATTTAAAGGACCCTATGTCAGTGTTACATTATACCCCAGATGTTTCCTATGCCCTGGCCCCATGTTTTAGCCGGCCTAGGTAGCAGCCTATAGGAACTGGATGTTCGCAGTTCTCTGAGTTGACAGGGAGATGCTGGGCATTGGAATCTAGAACAAGACATTAACTGACACTGACTGTGTTACAACCCAGTGAAACAAGTTCTCCTTTCAAATTCAATCATGACGGACACATCTTTTCCTTTAAAGTCAACAGTTCAGAACTGAGATGCAAATGGACGATAGTCCAATTCCTCTACTTCCTCATTGGTAGAGATTCTCATCCATCTCTGTATACTTCTTTTGTTGGCTTTCTAAGAGAGTGGATACCCTGGGGTTCTGTAATGAAGTCATAAAAGCAACCAAAATTATTTTGGAGTATTTTTCAGGTGCCTTGAAAAATATTAGTTAAATTCTTGTTCCTGTTTTAAAACTATAGGGTGATGACCGGGCACAGTGGCTCACGCCTGAAATCCCAATACTTTGGGAGGCCAAGGCAGGAGGATCACTGGAGGTCAGGAGTTGAAGACCAGCCTGGCCAACATGGTGAAACCCCATCTCTACCAAAAATACAGAAAAATTAGCTGGGTGTGGTGGCGCACATCCACAATCCCAGCTACTGGAGAGGCTGAGACAGGAGAATCACTTGAACCTGGAAGGCAGAGTTTGCAGTGAGGCGAGATTGTGCCACTGCACTCCAGCCTGGGGGGCAGAGCAAGACTCTGTCTCAAAGAAACACACAGAAAACTATTGGGTGAACACAATTGCAAATTCACTACCATATTCTTGATGTTCGTATGCCAGGTGTCAGATGGCACAAATGCCATGAACCTTGTTATCTCCTCCCCTAAAACCCTCTAGTGGCCCCCCGTTGGTGGTTAATAGATGCTCAAAGAGAAAGAGGGACTAGAGAAGCTAAGGCTCTGGCCCAGGAAAGCAGCTCCTTTAGGAATATGAACGAATGTCATTCTCTCTCCTCCAGCTCATCCACTGGCTCTGTCGGTCTCCCCACGCCTGGCAGCCCGTGAGGGCCAGCGATTCTCCCTCTCTCTCCACAGTGAGAGCAAGGTGCTAATCCTCTTCTGTAACTTGGTGGGGTCAGGGCAGCAGGCTAGCAGGTATGTTTCACTTTATTCTTTTTTCATGTGGTGTCTGGGATTTGTAGACCTGTGCTTGGGAGCCTGTCTAGAGTAAAATTAAATATTTATTCCCAAGGTTAATCAAGTAGGAGCCAGAAGTAGGGTCCTTTCTGACTAAGAGGATTAGAAATATCTGCCTTAAGCGTTTGGCTAACATTGTCATTCCTAACCATCAAACATCAGAGGCCTTCCTATTAATCAGAGGAACAGTTTTTACTGCCCTCACCACTATTATTCTATATTGTAATACCTAGGTGGTGCAGTGCTAAAAGAAACTGGCTATAAGAAAAGAGGTGATACTTTGGTTGTCTGTCCAGAAAACCAAGATCTGGAAAGTGATTGGCAGTAAGGAAAGGGTTCAGGAAATTGATGGGTTATATAACAAATATACAAAAACAGATAGCTTTCTTATATAGCCCCAATAAAGTGTTTAAAAGACAGAATTACGTTAAGTTATATTTAGATGGATGAAATGTTTCTAAAATGTATCTTGAATAAGAAACTGGTAAAAACAAAATGATAGATTATTCTAATAATTAAAATATTATTAATTAGCTCAGCTTGTAAAAATCAATTAGTCTAGCCTTACTTATTAATTCATCAACTCTCTAGTAATATGAAATATATCATTTTTATCGTACAATAAATACTTATAGACAGGTGGCCTATTCTGTTTGACTGATTTAATTGTATATTCTTCTGCCTGTATTACAATATTTTAATAATTTCAGAATTATGGTCTATTTCATATTACTAGAGAGTGAATGAATTATTCAAAGGTAAGGCTGGGCTAATTGGGCTAATTGATTTCTTTGTTTCTTTTTATTTTAAATAGTCAGCTTTTAACTCCTGCTATGGATTCACACGTATAAATTTCAGGTTGACTAGAGAGGTAACTCTAGAAAAGGAAGTCATAATATAACTTAAAGACAGCCGAGGTGGGTGGATCATGAGGTCAGGAGTTCGAGACCAGCCTGGCTAACACAGTGAAACTCTGTCTCTACTAAAAATACAAAAAATTAGCCGGGGGTGGTGGCGTGCACCTGTAGTTCCAGCTACTTGGGAGGCTGTGGCAGGAGAGTCGCTTGAACCGAGGAGGCAGATGTTGCAATTGGCTGAGATTGCACCACTGCACTCCAGCCTGGGCAACAGAGCAATACGCTGTCTCAAAAAAAAAAAAAAAAAAAAAAAAATTAATAAATTAAAAAAACAAAGACAACACGGGAGAATATTTATGTCCTTGGGTGGGGGCTAGTTTAACATGAAAGTCAGGAGGCTGTAAAGGAAAAGGCTGATGTTTCAAATATATTTAAAAATTTAAACTAAAAGCAAATTTGAAAGGCAAAGGGCAAATGAGGAAAGATATTTATGTCATGTGAGAGGCGAAGGATTTATATCCATCCTATAAATCCCAGCTCTCGAAAATTAAGGAGATAAATACCCTTGGTGAAATGAACCACAGAGATTGACATTAGTTCACAGAAGAAATACAGGCATAGGTTAAAATATTCAGCATCAGCCTGGCACAGTGGCTCACGCCTGTAATCCCAGCACTTTGGAAAGCCGAGGCTGAGGTTGGGAGTTGGAGACCAGCCTGACAAGTGGAGAAACCCCGTCTCTACTAAAAATATAAAATTAGCCAGGTGTGGTGGTGCACTCCTGTAATCCCAGCTACTCGGGAGGCTGAGACAGGAGAATGGCTTAAAACCAGGAGGCGGAGGTTGTGGTGAGCTGAGATTGCGCCACTGCACCCCAGCCTGGGCGACAAGAGCAAAACTCCGTCTCCAAAAAAAAAAAGAAAATTCAGCATCATTTGTAATAGAAGAAATTCTGGTTGCAATAGCAAAATACTATTCTTAACCTTTTAGATTGTTAAATAATTTTTAGAAATTGATAATGCTCATTCTGGGCCGGGGTCCGGGAAATCAGGTAAATTGGTATGGCTTTTTCGGAGGACAATTTGGGAAGAAAGAGCTTTAGTCTTGCCTTTCTACTTCTGGAACTTTACCCTAAGGGAATAATTGTGCACTCAAAGGTTATGTTCAAGGTTATATCTAGTTCCTGCGATAAGCAAGCATTGTTTAAATAAAAACTTGGAATGCCGCACAGTACAGCATGGATTAAGTAACCTGATCTGTCCACACAACAATGGATGCACAGTGCCCTTGCCTGTCCAGACAGATCGCCTCATACTTGTGCTCTGCTTTAGCCAATTTTATTTAACAGTTTTCACATTCTTACCTCACTGGGTCTTCACACAGGCTGCAGCGAGGCCAGGAAGCAGTGAGTGACTAGTGATTCGTCCAGGAGTACCCACAGCAGAGTTAGGGCCCGCAGGTGCAGCCTCACCCAGGATCCTGTACACCGTGAGCTCACTGCTGTGCGCTTACTATGTTGGGACATGGATACCATCCCCAGTGATGGGAATGTTCCTGATACCCCAAACCAACGGTTGTGTCATCTGGATTTATGTCTCTGCCTTGCCTTCCCCTGGCTCCAAGGTTCTCTTACTGTACTCCCTGCTGTGGGGAAGAGACTTTGCCAGCTAGCTGGTCATTTGGAGTAATCTGTTTACATAGCAGTATCTATCTGGCTTTGTATCACTGGGCCTCTGTTTACATTGCAATGTCTCCATTTGTTACAAGGTTCTCTGATTGGCAATTTTGGACTGTGTTTAGCTTTAAAAACCATTTACATTATTTTTAATTGACACATAATTATACATATTTATGGGGTACAGAGTGATATTTTGATACATGTATATAGTGTGTAATGATCAAATCAGGATAATTGCATAGCCATAACCTCAAACATTTATCATTTCATGTTGGGAAGATTGAAAATCCTATCCTCTAGCTGTTGAAAACACAATAAATTATTGTGAACAATAGTCACTCTGTACTGCTATAGAACACTAGAGCTTATTTCTCCTATCTAGCCATAATTTTTATTCATTACCTAACCTTTTCCTAGCCCCCACCAGCCCCTCCCAGCCTCTAGTAGAACTACTATTCTATTCTACTTCTATGACATTAACTTTTTTAGATTCCACATGCGTGAGTACAAGCAGTATTTATCTTTCTGTGCCTAACTTATTGCACTTAACGTAATGTCCTCCAGCCTCATCCATCTTGCCGCAAACAACAGGATTTCATTCCTTTTTCATGGGTGCATAGTATTCCATTATGTATATAGATTACGTTTCCTTTTTCATTTCTTTTCCATTCATCCACTGATGTATACTTAGGTTGATTTAGAATCTTGGCTATTGTGAATAGCCCTGCAATAAACACAGGAGTGCACAATCTTTCCTTTGGATAAATACCCAGTAGTGGGATGGCTGGGTCGTATGGTGGTTCTATTTTTAGTTTTTTGAAGAACATCCATGCTGTTCTCCACAGCGTCTCCTTTCCCACCAAGAGTGTACAAGAGTTCCCTTTTCTCCATAACCTCACCAGCATTTGTTATTTCTTGTCTTTTTGATGATAGCCATCCTAACTGGGGTAAGATGATATCTCATTGGGGTTTTGACTTGCATTTTCCTGATAATTAGTAACGCTGAGCATTTTTTCATATGCCTGTTGGCTACGTGTGTCTTTTTGAGAAACGTCTATTCAGATCCTTTGCCCATTTTCAAATGGGATTCTTTGTTTTTTCGCTGTTGAGTTTTTGTGCTTGGCTCTTAACTCGTCACTTATCCTATTGAGAGGAAGCCAGGGGTAGAACAACCACTCATGACTGGTGGATGTTGCTGGTTTTTCCTTTGCTGGAATAACCTGATTTCCTTGGATTTTCAGGTTTGGGCCGCCCTTCCTGATAAGGGAAGATAGAGCTGTTTCCTGGGCCCAGCTCCAGCAGTCTATCCTCAGCAAGGTCCGCCATCTTATGAAGAGTGAGGCCCCTGTACAGGTCAGTGGTGTGTGTGTGTGTGTGCATGCGTGCGTGCATGTGTGAGTGTGGGTGTGTGTATTGGGAGGGTTGGAATTTAGGGTAGCTCAGGAGAGGAGAATTTGCTGTTTAGGAGTGCTCATACTGTTTTATAAAATGACTTAGATTTATGTGCAAGTAGAAGTGACCATCTTATAGTCCGTAGTGTTTTACTTTTGTGCCATTATAAAATACCTTTCATGGACAGAGCTTTTTCTTATTAAATCTTTCAAAACACCATTGGGAAAATGGCATTTACATTACGAAAGTTTTTTTTTTTCACATTTTCCATCACTCCCTAAGCATTTACATTATTATTCCCAATTTTGTATGTTTATGACTTACCATAGTTTTTCCTAGAAGATAGCATATTGTAATAAATTGCAACTATATGTTTAAATCAACAATTTCAAGGGACTTGAGATAGAATTTCTGTGGAAAATTAAAATGATTATGTCCAAATATGAAAATCTAGATGTTAAAATAATTTTGTCCAGATTTTTTAAAAACTAAGATAACTCAAAGGAAAACAATATTTGCCTTGTTTATTTATTCTCAGATTGATAGTTTCCAAACAAAAACAGTATGTTTAAGAACTGTTGATTTTTTTTTTTAGCTCCTATAATATCAGAAACTTTCTGATGGTTGCTTGAAGATGTTGAAATTTTTAGGGACAGGTCAGTTGCGTCAGATTCCTGTTTTCCCCTAACTATTCCCATAGTAAAAGCTTTTTATTTGGAGCACACACAGATCTTATCTCAGAGATAATTCCTCCTAATTCATGCTCCTTCCTGCTCAGCAAAAACCATATGTTTGATTTAGGATTTATACCAAATAACACTTTGTTAAAAACCTTCACTACATTTGTCCCAACTTTTATCTCTGAAGCATTTTGTTCAATGTATTGTAGAGCAGATCCACCAAAGGGCCCAAATTAGAAACTCCTCTGCAAGTAGGTCAGTCTATCCAGTGAGAGTTTTGCCTTCTCCCAAACCTTAAGCTACTGATTATTGCAATACATGAAACCATTTTCATGTGAGCATTTAACTCAGCTGTCCTTACTCTTACCTGCTCACACACCTGTACTTTTTTTTTTTTTTTTT